GACGCATCGCTGTCTTCCAAGTTAATTCAATTCAGCGTACCTTTCATCCACGATACTTGAGGATGGTTCTAACAAAATGTTGAAATGATAGGGATTTCTGAAAACAAATTCTGAAGAGTTTTCCAAAGCAATTCTGATGAGTATTGCATAGAAATCCCAACAAGAATGCCATGGAAATTATGACAAACTGACTCCGTAAGCATCCGAACTTGAATTGCAAGTGTACTTTGATAACAATTCAAAGAGAGTTTTAGGATAGTTCCTAAAGAATTCTAAGGCAAACGCCAATTCTGAAAATAGTTTCAACGGAATTTCGAGGATGAATCCAAGGAATTTCAAAGCAGAATATCACATAATTTCTGTGAAAATCACAAGGGATTTATCATGGTATGCTGAGAAAAGTTTATTCTTAGGAAATTTACAGGAGAACAATTTACAAACAAAATTCCAATGTAATAAAGTGGTTACTTCGAAGGACATAAAATGGTGATTTTGAGGAAAATTGCAAGGGAATGAAGAATTAGAAGAGAATTGTAGAGTAAATTGAGCAGTGGAACCAAACTGAATTGCAAAAACTCGATATTCTCCGATTTGCATGAAACTTTGTATTATTGTTTGTTATGGGCAATGATTAACATTTTTGTTAAAATACGGCTACCTAAGATCTCGAAAATTGGCATCCTTGAAATTTTTCAAAAAATTGTTTGACGGAAACGGCCTTTTTCCATCGAAAGGGCGTCTGAGTCAGGGTTGCTTCCACCCACTTGCCATAAAAAATTGTTTTTCGGAATATGACATGATTAGATGATATAATGATGTGTTGTACTTGCAAGTATCAAGAAGAGGGTGTAACGTGTGTGTTTGACTTATAAAACCTGTCAATTTTGCTTTCAGAGCGTCATAATTAGTGATCTTATGATTCGTGAGCGTTCACTCAGAGTGAGCGCTCACGAATAATGAAATCGCTGATTGTGACGCACTGAAAGCAATATCGACAAGTTGAATGTGTCAAACAAATACCTCACGACCTCTTCTTGTAAATTCCATGTACTGATTACCATTATAAGATGCAATGATTTCATAATTACGAAAAATATTTTTTTTTAGCAAGTGAGTGGAAGCAACCCTGCGTCTGAGACAAAGTCTTTTTTCTTTCTTTGATTGGTTTTCTGTCAATTTTGTTTTCCGAACTGAGTACCAATGCTACCAACACCAGAGAGGCAGCTTCCACACCAATACCTATCGACCCATCAACTCATGCACCGGGGACCAACGGCTTTACTGCGCTTTCGAAGGAAGGCGTGATCAGAGATTTTATGCCTCAGAAAATTCCGGCGCCGCTGACTTGGATTGAACACAGGCCTTTTGGGGTGAGAGGCAATCACGCTTACAACTACACCACCAGCGCCGCTATCTGAAACAAAGCTGTAGAGTGCGGAAATTTTGAATTTTGATAGATATATTATTAGCACTAAACCATCTATTTTAAGATGGGTTAACTGACTATTCTATTGGATTTAACATGAGAATTCTATATTAAAAAGTAATGAAAAAGTCCCAAAAAAGCAATCTATGCCTGCAGGCAGGATGGTCAAATAATAGTTCTCGTTTTAATTAATCATCACACAACGTAAAAATTGGGTACTATCTGTGGGTGCTGTGACCAGTTGCGCGAACCATTGAGAAGTGACCGATCGCAATATATCGCTGACAAAGCCTCATTGTCTCATAATGGATGATAAGACTTACGTCAAGGCGGACTTCCGGCACCTTCCCTGTTCTTCACCGCCCAGCACAAGTTTGATGTTCCGGAGAAAGTAAGGAAGCAGAAACTTTCAATGTTTGCCAAGAAATACATGATTTGGCAAGCGATCTGCTCATGTGGCAAACGGAATGCACCGTTCGTGACTACCGGGACTGTAAACGGGGAGATCTACCACAAAGAGTGTCTACAGAAGCGTCTGCTTCCTCTGTTGAAACAACACGAGGGCCCTACGATTTTCTGGCCGGATCTAGCTTCGTGCCACTATTCAAATGTTGTCCTGTTCTGTGTGTCACTTTCATACCCAAGGACATGAACCCCCCCTCAACGCACCGGAACTAAGGCCCATCGAAAAATTCTAGGCTGTTATGAAGCATCCCAAGGAGGTCAAATCTGGGGATTGACATGAAGAGTAAGTGGGTTTCCGTACAGAAGAAGCTGATGCCAGATGGTGTACAGAACCTAATGAGTGGAGTTAGGCGTAAGGTGTGAGCGTACGGTTATGGTATTGAAGTTGAATTAAATAAATATGCCAAAAACTTACCAATGGGTTATATTTTATTGCCTGAAAGTTTGAAAAGGATTGGTTAACTAGGTAGTCTTCTACAGCATTTTTTCTGCGATGCAATTTGATGTGGGACACCCTTTAATCCAAACTTAATGTAAAGGTTTGTTTATGCTAAAAGCACACTATGCTTAATTAATTCTAAAAATCTTTTTCAATTGAAAACAGCAAGTGTCCATCTTTCCTGTAGTGTGCGTTTTTACCGACTTTCCCCTATTAATTTCATATGAACTTTTCAAAACTTTACCTTAAAGTTTGTTAAAACTTTCCTTTCTACTATTCCTCGCTTTTTTCAGAGTTCATGTTAATATTTTTCAAGGATGATCAAAGGATTTTCTCTTAAAATTTTCACTTTAAACCTCAAGAAATTGATTCCAGAAAATGCTATCTTTTAAAATAGGACTTGAAATAAATAATCGATTTTTTTTAATTTGTTTTCCGAATTTGGAAGGAAAAATTACTTTACAACTTATTTTTAATGTAGTCCTTACGCTGCTCCCGAGGCATAATAGGAAGGAATTCTCTGAGAATTCCAATAGATAATTTCTTAAATATTTTGGTGGATTTCTCTTAGAACTCCCTTAGAAAATTCCTTAGTATCGCAGAAGCAATTTTATATTATTACCTCTGAAAAAAACTCAGGGAATTTCTCCGGAAGTTTTAAGTTAATTCCTCAAAAAAATTTGAGAAAATTTCTTCCGGAATTCTAGGAGGATTGTTCCGAGAATCATAACAGAGTTCTTCTCGAAATATTAGAAAATACTTTCTTCGAAATGATAAGAGATTTTACCTCTTGGAAAGGTAAAAAAATCCTCTTGAAATTCTAGGAAAAATTCTTCAAATTTTTTGAGAAACTTTCTCCGAAATTTTAAGAAGACTCCGGTAGTTCAAGAAGAATTGATTCGGGAATTCTATCATAATTCTTTCGGGAGTTCTGACAAAATTTATCTAAATTTCCTATAAATTTCGGGAAAAACCTCCAAAAAATGTAAAATACTTGTTCCGGAAAATCTAGGACAATTCCTTTGGGTAAAAGGATACCTTTAGGGAATTCTACAAGAACTGTCCTTAGAAATTAAAGAAGAATTCTATGAGAATTTCTTTGAGAAATTCTAGGATATTCAATATCACACTGATGACATCTGCACATTGTTGATTTATCTGTCATGGGTACTAAATTAAGTGAAATTAAACGGTGAAGAATCAATATGTGTGCTCTTATGTGTATTCCACTAACAGCCCAAGAAGAATCTCAAAATAAATTCTAGGAAATTGCTTCCGGATATTACTGAAGAATTTCTAAAGGAACATTAGAAGAACTCTCTCAAAAAGTCTTCTAGAATTCCTTTGAGGTAAGAAGTCCTCCGGGAATAAAAAAAATGTACCAGAAATTCTGGGAGAAATCAGGTTGCAGGAGTTCAGACAAAATTAGCTGGAATCTTGGGAAAATTTCTTGAGGAGATTTTAGGAAAATTCGGGATGAATTGCTGTGAAGAATTCTTGGAGTTCTCCTTAAATAAATCTTGAATATTTCCTGCGAGTAAATCTAGGAGAATTCCTCCGGGGAGTTTAGTTGAAATCCTGCAAGCAGTTCTAATGAGTTTTCTTCGAAAAAAGTAATTGCCCAGAAATTCAAAAAAAAAAAAAATCGTTTGGAATTGTAATAAAATTTCCACCAAGCATTCGCCGTCCTTCCTTTTGCCATCGACCAACCTTGCAATTTTCTCAATTATCAAAGTACACAATCTGCATTCATGCAACGCAGGCTCACAACCGAATGCACAGCGGAATGCGAAAAAGTGGAACGCAACAGTCGCAAATGAACATTCATGTAACCGTACCTCCCGTGGTCGACGCCGGACCTTCAAATGGTCCTCGTTCGGGATTCTCATATACCTGATATACCTACTGTAGGAAAAACTAATCATGCACCGCATTCATACACGGGTTTCTGTTCTGTTGAAAACAAACACACCTCAACTACGCATGGCCCTGCACCTGGGCTGGGAACCTGTGGCTTTTGTATCCGCATTTCACTATGTCATTGCAAACTTTCTAAGCTCAGGGGGGAAAAGGCACATCAGTTAAGTTGCTAGTGCGTGTAGATAATGGTTAGTAGCTCCGATGCTGGGCGACGACGACACCGATAATGATGATGATGGATGAATGTACGGTTCGGTTGAACTGGAGAGAGGAATATGGAAAGCTCATTGCTATGGCCACCCTCAATGCGGTGTGTGTGTGTGTGTGTGTGTGTGCGTGCGTGAGAGTGTGCTGTTGCTTCTGTTTACCTTAATCCTAAATGAGGACTTTGCAATGCAATGTGACATGTGATCTCGATGATGATGGTGGGACCAACTGACGATGATAATATATTATAACTACGATGATCAATGCTGTCGCAGGGTTATGGTGCAGTGTGGGCAGTGTTTTGAGCTATAATTTTGAAAATATAACCTCTGCAAACGTGGCATCACTGTCCCCAAAAGTGCCCGGAGGTACTGCGTGCACGCATACGGCAGAGGGACGATTTACTCTGTTGATTCAATGAGAATATGAGTTGATGGGTATCTCTGGAGTTCGCTTCGGTTCTCGGGTTCGGTCCCGTTTGCATCGTTGTTCAGTATAGGCATAATGATGTCGAACTCGACATGAATGGCTGAATGGACTTACCCCGGTTAGATAGGTTTTCCTGCTGTCGTCCAGTATCGTTCGCCCGATGATGTCATGTTTGCTGTTGCATAATGAATTATGCAGCGCCGTGGGGGTCTGATTTGCCGATATTAATTTGTAATCGGGATCTGGAAAATGTTGGAAATGTTTGCGTTAGCATTAATGGTTTGTTTTTTAGGTTTCCGATAGAAGATGTGCGCCACAGGGAGAGGTGAAATGATATCGTATGTATGACGAATGACTGCATGCGTTCGTTCACTATGTACCCGTGGGATGAAACGATTCGAAGCCATAATCCATTGCTTACCCATTTGCGATTCGGGAACCAGTTATGGAAGTAGGTACTGAACTAGTAATCATGCTCGGATAATTCACAAGCTAGGAATATGAAAGCTTTGAAGAACTGCGGTAGGTCATTTCACCCCAAGGGTGACTCCTTACTGATTGAAAGTAATCCATGATATTCAATACAGAGTGCAAGTCAGAGGAAGCAATGAAGAAGGCACTGATACACGGTTCGGAGAAACAAGCGTTCCTTTTTATTAGTAGACAGATCGAAATTATCGCTGATGTGAAGAGAAGAGAAAAGGCACATTTCACCCTTACAGAGAATGAAAAGTTAAAGCAAAGAGTGAGCGAACCTGATTCAAGCAAAGCAATTCTCTCGAGAAAAGCAACCTTGAGCATTTATTCTCACTCGGTAGCGGCAGCCGATTAGTTCGTTTCCGTTTAGGCATTTTTTTCCGGTGAATAATCTCGAGCAGCCGATTTTTAACTATCTTTACTGTTTTTACGGGACTGGATTTGCGGCAGTTTGAGAGAGGTAACTCAAGGGTGAATTTTAAAATAGCCGTATCTACTTTTGTAAACAATTGGATGTTCTTCGGCATGACGATGACTCTTGTTGATGATGGCCCACAGTGGTGTTTCTCCCCTCTCGGAACAATAGCGCACAGTGGGGCCGTTATGAAAAAAGACGGTCAAAAGTCTTTTCTCACCTTTATCAACGTTTTAGTGCCTAGGTGTCTGTAGAGAAGTTTCTTCAAATTTTCGGCGATTTGGTGGTTCGTTAAGGGTGCCATTTTGATGCTACAAAAATCGCCAAAAATGCATTTTTTTTTCACTTCGGTTGAACCCCAAAAATGCATACTAAACGCATTCTGATCCCCTTATTGTCATTCCCGGCACCCACGGGACAAGACAATGCACCATCCTACAATGGTTAGAAGTGGTTCTGAACTCGTTAAGGGTGCCATTTTAATGCTACAAAAATCGCCAAAAATGCATTTTTTTCATTCCATCTTTTGAAATATGCACCTAAATTTTTATTAAGGAGGTATTGCACTTAGAAAATGTAACTTTTTGTAACTAGTTACGAGATAATGGGTTTATGTCTTTGGCAAAGTTGTAGAAAATCAAATTTTAAGAAACTTTGCCTAAGACATCAAATCTCTACATCTTAGCCCCAGAGAGATATAGTTAGTTTTCTCTCAGGACTACCTTAAAAACTGTTTTTTGAGTTTTTATAATACTTAAGTACATTATATCAATCCAATTGGTTGTAAAAAGTTTAAGATAACATAAAAATACGCAATTTCTCTGAAGACACCAACTACTTTTGTTGACATCAGTGTGATATGCACGCAGCGAATTTAGTGAAAAAGTATACCAATTTTCAAAACTATTTTTATCAAAAATGTGAATGTTTGTGAACCAGTACTCAACGTCATAATGTTTGTCATAGTTTAAAGTATGAGCAAGCAACATATCACAATCAGGACATTTCGCGCATATCATGTTTCATGTTATTGTATACATCACCATTTAAGCGATATTCTACATGTTTTTCGAATAATGCTTCGGTTCTCTCAAACGGGTAAACGACAGATCCGTTCACACGCACGGCCTACTTTGAACGTCGATGCATTGCGTTCATCGAGGCATAAGCTAAGACGTGCTGTCAAAGTGGTAACGTCGGTGATCGTTGTGTTGTGTTTATTACAACTGTTTGCCTTTTTGTTTTTCGTGGAAAATTAGTGCTTATCAACCGGCTCGCAATGGATTGTTCGGAGTATGGAAGGAGAAACTAGGTAAATTTCGTGAAATCAAAATGCATCATGTCCGGGATTACGTTCTTTCAAAATGGGTTGGAATTTCGGAAAACAACTGCAGAAAATTGAGAAGAGCTATTGCCAGTTTTTGTGCAGAGCTAGAAAAGCGTTGTAATAGAGCCAACAGCACGCTTAACCGCTTTCTAGTAGCATATGCGGCTTGGCTGAAGGGACCCGTTTTTCCAAAAATGTCACACGAGAAAGTCCAAAGACGGCCAAAAAATCGTTCGTCGAGCTGAATAAGCAGAACAAGAGGCAAAGAGTAAAGGTTCTGAGAAGCTCGGGAACAAGTGAGGAATTGGACGTGGCAAAACTTGTGCATGAACATCCCCTTCTCGAGCAAGAAAAAATCGACAGGTTTGGAAATTGCACAACGATTCTCAAAGTGAGCTATCTATGACTGAAGACGAATGTTTGTCCTTATTCATTGACGGGGACTTTTCCAAGCACCTATGGACGCTGTTGCGTAATACTACAAAGCAATGTAATGTTTCGCAGATTTATCCCTCATATAAGAGGTTGATCAAAGCTCGCGAAAGATGTCTCGCAGACAATATAATGGCACCTAAGATATCAGCTGAAACTCAACTGGATATCAGTGGAGACCTGGAACTACTTTCAAAATGGGGATTCGATGGATCATCGGATCATTCGAATTAAATATAAGCAAACATTTTCATGTGAAAACAGCTCCGTTTTCATTACGTCCATGGTCCCACTACAATTACGAGTTCGAAGTAATCCTAGCAAAATTATATGGATCAATGAAAGGCCATCATCTACAAGATTATGTCGACCAATCCGCATGCAATTAATCAAGGAGACTGCAGTACTATCATTGAAAGAAAAGGAGTATTTTGATGATCAAATTCAAAGTTTGCTGCTTATTGATGTGCATGGAGTGAAAATTCACCATGTCATGGTGTGTTCTATGGTAGATGGAAAAGTATGCAACTCTGTGACCGGAATCTCGACACGAAAATGCTTTGTGTGTCATGCATCAATAGAGAAATTTAACGATCTTGATGCCATGAAATACAGATCTGTCGATAAATCCACCTTCCAATTTGGCGTTTCTCCGCTACATGCCCGCATAAGGTTCGTAGTACTTTAAATATAATTTTCCTTATTTTAACCATGCTTATTTATTGATCCCATAACTTTTTGAATATTCATCCTCGCATAACCGTCACATCTCATAAATGACGGTCAACTAGCATATCACTTGGAAACACCTCTACCTCAGTAGACCGTCTTCATAAAAGCCATCCATGACAGTTAGATTAAATGACAAGGAGAGAGTAGCCAAATCATTCACTCACTGATCATCTCTGTTGGGCATTTATAAGTGGGAAGTGAGAATAATGCTCACTCATTTTCCTGTTCTTGCTAAAAGTTGTTGGGTTCAGATCATAAGAAACATTTTGAAGAAAACGTTGGATTTTCAATTTCCTTGTAACAAATAAATATGTGGGTGTTATTATGTTACAATGTTGAAAAATATCCGTTTATCTTCAAAAATTCAATTCCTTAACATGCAAATTAAAGCCACTTTCACTTTTTTTTAATGATCCATTGGCAATATCAATTCTCTTTTACGTACGCGTTAGTAGTTTACGATGCTTAATAAATCTTAAAACTGGCACAACTCACAATTTACAAGCTCACGAGAATTTTACTGTCAAAACGAACAACTTTTCAACGTTATTACGTTTCGTGTGAAAAGTGAAGCGAAAAATCGTAAATTTTTTAATTGATCCGAAAATTTGCAAGGACCATGGAACCAACATGGAACTCAGTGCGAAACCGAACTTTTTGTCAGTGCAAACCTCAACCTGAGCTGGGTTTTAAAAGCAAACGATCAAACTGACGTTTGTCCGAAAACAAGCCGATCCAATCTTTATACCCGATCCAGGTTGGAACTGAATAATAAACGAATTCGCTATTAATTTATGCTCGAAATGAGATGACGGTCAATTTATATGTCTGTTCATTTTTCCTCGGTAACACATGGCAGATGTTAGTGATATTGCGAATGAGTGAGAAAAGCAAAACAACGATATCTCACGGTTGTTGTGTCATACTGGTGAGAAGTTTTACGGAGAGAGGGTTCTCAGTTGTTTTGATTGTTAACCGAAGGAATCTCTTTTGTCAATCTAAAGGCTGTCGGTACCGTGATGCAACTCAGCACTGTCTCATACCAAATGCTAGCAGGCTCGAACACCGATGCAGAATGAGAAACTGACTGCAAGTTAACGGCCAAGATTACTGCTCTGAATGAAGAACTTGTTGAGAAATTTGCAGTTCTAAGTGTGTAGGAATGCGGCCAATCCATCGATGTCAGTGCATTCAAAGACTTCTGCCATGAGACTGACAAATGCTACAATATTACGGGTGGTACTACATGCCGTCATTGGTACACCGAGTCCTGCTTCATGGAGCGGATATTATTGCTGCAGTAATCGTACCCATTGGATGCCTGTCGGAGGAGCCACATGAGAGTAGGAACAAAGATCTGAAAAAGTTTCGTGAAAATCGTTCAAGAAAGTGTTTAAGGTATGCCATAATTTTCAAATATTATTATTATTAATTACTGATAAGTTTTATATCCATCCTTCTATGCATACAGAGAGGCCAGCAACCATGATGTATTCATAAGGTTGCTGATGACTTCTGATCCGTACATCGCAAGTTTGCGACAACAGCTAAATAAGAAAACACAGCTATTGACACCAACTGCAACGCAGTTACTACCAGAGATGCAAAATATCATGACACTCACGTGACACTCGTCTTCGCATCAACCGACTATCGCTGACAGATCGTTTTGTCACGCAGTGAGAGTTAGAGCCATGGCAAACAACAATCACCAGTAATGGTCGCTGCTCACAAGCACAACGTTACACTCGCTGCTGATGATGAAAAGCACAACGAAATCAGTGAAGACTTCTGCAGTAAGATCATGAGAAAAAGCGAAACGACAGAAGAAAATGAAAACAATGCCTACGCATTCCAAG